TTAAAAAAAGATCAAATGAAAACTAATTTTCAAAATCAAAACCGGTAGATTGATAAAGTTCAATGAGACGATCAATAACATACAAAAAATTCATTAAAACTACTGCTTATACACAAAATTTGACCGATACTTATTAAATGATCAAAAAGAAATGGCTATCATAATTTTTACTAAAAAAAGTTTCAAAACTTATTCAAAATGTTTCAAATTTTGTAGAGCCTTTCGATCTATCAGTTTGGGTGTTCGATTTTAGTTTGTATTTGATCACTTATAATAGGGAACCTCACGAAATTTGACATAAAAAACATTATCTAAGTCTTGCCTTTCAGTAAAATGCCAAATTGTCCAACTGTGTTTACATCCATCCATGTCAATAGTCCAAAGTCAGACAAAATAAACATTGGAAAGTCGCACAAAATAGCATTACTCAATGTTCTAAAGCAAACCACACATAGTAGCAGACAGTGTACAGTTTATAACTTTGCATAAAAAGAACCAAGCAAATCAGAAAAAAGGAAGAGACGCACAAAGATAAATAAACAAACAAAAATATGGGTGGTTAAGTACCTACAAATGAGCCACTTCTGTTGCTTTCTTCTTCCCCAATCTATAACCCACCAACTCATCCTCTAACCCTGAAATTGTATACTAAAAAATAAGTCCATTTACTTCAATTTTAAATCCAAAAAAATTGATGGTAATATTAAATACCTGAAAGTGGACAATTTCTGGAGAGAGAAGTTGATGTGTCTCCATTACTATGAACAATGGATTTGGAACTGCAGCAAAGGCTTTTGGAGGTCCATTTCAGTGATGAAGAGAGAGCACAAGAGGAGCTGAGCAAATTTGTTTGAGTAAGGAATCTGTTTAATAGCACTGGGTTTAAGCATAAGCAAATTCTCAAAGCTGACATTGTTCTCAGTTCTCGGAAATGCTCTGACACTCGCCTTCGTCTCAGTAGTCGGGAGGCAATAGGAAAAGGATACCCAAAGCTGCCCAAAGGCTCAGCTTCGGGCTTTAGAGGCTTCATGGTCGAGCCGGGCCAGGTTTGGATGGGCCTCATAAGACCCAAATTTCTAAGCTAAGTCCAGACCCGACTATTTATATAATATTTTGTTATTAAAATAATAAAAAAAGTTTTTATAGTAATATTTAAAGATTTTTTTCATATATTTTAAAAATTAAAATTAAATAAAGCTATTCTATTTATTAATAAAATAATTTTGTTGGACAACCTGACACGGCTTAGAGTTATGGTCATAATAGCACTTCAAAAAATAGTTCATATTACATAGTTCATAACAAAATCGGGGATATTACAATACAGTTCAGAACAATTGTGCATCACAACCATTAGCAAGTCAATGATCAAACCAAAATATAGTTACTAACTAAAGAAATGTCCATTTCCTATATGACATAAATCGGTAATGGTATATCCTTTAGTTACCAATAAGATTTGATAATGGTATAGCCCTTATTATTATAGAATACATGGTGCTTGTACAAGTGGAATCACTGCATCATTCTCGTTCTCCTCAAAAAATTATTATTGTATAACCCCCATTACTTTAGGCTTACAGATGTCAATGGTATAACCCCATTAACTTAGACAACATTTCACTTTCTTCTACTATATCAATATTTACATATTTATCATAAAATTCATCATTCTCATTCAACAATGTTACATATAAAACTTCTTAAAGATGCATTTTTACACAACTCATATAGTATGTGGGATCAACATCACATATGTGGCAACATAACATATGTCATGTGCTCATCTTTACCTCATATAGTATGTGGAAACAACATCACATACATGTCATCATAGCGTATATCTCTCGTTTTTATCTCATATAGTATGTGGAAACAACATCAAATACATGTCAACATAGCATATATCTCATGCTTGTTCTTATCTCATATAGTATATGGAAACAACATCACATAACAACATCACATACAAGTCATCATAGCATATAACCCATGCTTGTTCTTATCTCATATAGTATGTGGAAGCAACATGACGTGCATGGCATAATAACATTTAGCATGTGTTCATTCTTATTTCAAATAGCATGTGGAACAACATCACATACATTGAGATATAGCACATTTCATGCAATTTATGCATACTTCACGAAGTGGTTGTTTGGTTTAAATCAACTGAAAGGATTTGTAGCCTTTTGTTGAAATATAATATATAGTAAGATATTTACATATACATAAGTTTTGAAAACTCTTTCAAAACATGAGTTCAACCATAAACATAATTTTTCCCCTATAAAAATATAATGAAAGTCATATCAACCAAGTAAACCATCAAACCATAACTTTAGCTTTACATATTAAAATCGTTTGAAAGTGGTGTATCCATTCACCTTGACAAAAGTGTCCTTTTAAGCCTTGCTTCATCAAACTTTGCTTATTCTACAACACTCAAGCTCAAAAAATCTTATCACAATAATTTTTAAAAGTCCAATTCAACCCCCTCTTAGAAATTCTTATTACTTGTTCATTGAGTTAACATTTCTACCAATCATGTTGCTTTTGCAAAGTATGATTTGTTGCAAAAACTCTTCCCCTTGGCTTCCCTTACCTGTATCCACTCACAGAGTCTTTCTAACTCATCCATTATTTTTCCTCATTTTTGTTTTACAGATTAATAGCTCAATTGGCTAGGCGCCTTCTTTCCAACCCACTAGTGTCTCTACATTTTGTAGTGTGTCAAGTCATGATGTAATGAGTTAGTGTGGAAAGAAAGGCTAGCACTTGACTAAGCCTTTAAAGTTAATAACCAAGTTTCAAATATTGAAACTTTAAATTCAAGTTTGAGAGAAGAACTTAAGAATAGTTTTCGATGATTTAAAAGCTAAGCTTAAGGGTCCTATTTATTGTGTTATAGGCCCAAGCCTTAACAAAACTCTATCTGTGGTTGTCTAGTACAACTAGAATAATTAATAAGATATTTAAATAAAACAAATGTTTTATTCCTAATTAGAACATGACTATCCTAAAGTCCTAATACAAGGAAAAAGAAACTCTATTATACTTATAATTCCTATGTAAAACTCCTAACTAAATAAGAAAAATATTAAAATTATGGATATGCCCATTTATGACATTTAGGCTTTTTGTTTTGGCTTTTGACACTTTGCCTACTCCAAGAAATTATTTGCTAGACGTTTTACATCAGTCCCTTCCTTTTGAGAAAAACTCAACTTTGAGTTAACTTGTATATTTGGATACAAGGGTTCATCTGATGAATGAAATGGGTAAATGTCTGCCACGTTGAATGTTTTGGAAATTTCCATTATGTCTGGTAGATCCACAACATATGCATTGTCATTGATCTTCTTCAAAATCTGGTACGGTCCCTAATTTTTAGGCTATAACTTACCATAAGTCCTTATTGGAAACCTTTCTTTTTGCAGACACACCATCACTTGATCTCCCACTTCAAAAAATCTACTTCCTGTGGTGTAGATCTGCAACTTTCTTATACTTGGCATTAGCTTGCTCTAATTTCTATTTCACCTTTGGTTGAACATCTTGCAACTGATTAGCCATATTTTCCATAACCACATTAAATCCAGGAACTCTAAGCAACTTAACCAAGTCAAGAGCATGCCGTGGTGGCTTTGTGTATACAATAGAAAATGGAGATTTTTCTATGGCACTATGAACAACATTATTATAAGCAAACTCTGCTCGTGCCAATGTAAAGTCCCATTGCTTCGGTCTATCACCACAAATACTGTGAATAAGGTTGCCAAGGGTTTTGTTCACCAATTTAGTTTGGCCATCAGTTTATGGATGACTTGTGCTACTGAAATTTAAGGATGAATCAAACATCTTCCACAAAGTCCTCCAAAAATGACCAAGAAACTTACTATCTCGATTTGAAGCGATGGTTTTAGGCACACCATGTAGACGAACAACCTCATTGAAAAACAATTTGGTTATGCCACTTGCATCTGAAGTCTTCTTGCAAGGGATAAAATGGGCCATTTTAGAAAACTTATCCACAATAACAAAAATAGAATCCATGCCCTTTTGTGTTCAAGGTAATCCAAGTAGAAAATCCATAAATAAATCCTCCCAAATATTTTCTAAAATAGGTAAAGGCGTATACAAACCAGCATTTTGGGACTGTCCCTTTACAGTTTGGCATATGTAACATCGCTGCACAAATCTTGTTACATCCCTTCTCAGATGTGGCCAATAATATCTCTTTGCAAGAGTAGCAACTGTCTTATCACAGCCTAAATGGCCAGTAAGACCTCCACTTAAATAACTTTTCTCTCAATGAAGATCTACGAATGCAAAGCTGGTTGCCTCACATTAAGAAACCATCATGAACGTAAAAATCCCCAATAGGTTGATCTGTGATACACTTTTCCCATGTATCATGAAAATCTTCATTTGTATGATATAATTCCTTGACTATATCAAAACCCATAACTTCTTATCTTATTGTCACTAACAGATCTGCACGTCTACTCAATACATCTGTTACTTTATTCTATACTTCAACCTTGCGCTTTAGCTTGAAAGGAAACTTTTGTAAAAACTGAAACCACTTGGCATGCACGTCTTTACTAATCTGTTTCTGACTATTTAAGTACTTTAATGCCTCATGATCTGAGTACAAAACAAATTCCTGCCCAACCAGGTAATGCTCCCAATTTTTGGAAGCACGCACAATAGAATATAATACTTTGTCATATGTGGTCCACCGACGCCTTGCCTCAATAAGCTTCTCATTGAAAAACGCTACTGGTTTCTTCTTTTGTGAAAGAGCAGCTCTTATTCCCACATTATTAGCATCACATTCAACTTCAAATAATGTATCGAAATCCGGTAATGCTAAACAGGAGAGGAACATAGCTTTTCCTTTAGCACAGCAAAACTGGTTATATTTTCTTCTCCCCACTAAAACTTGCCTTTCTTCAGGCATTCTGTAATAAGTGCTGCAATACTACTAAAATTTTTGATAAAATGCCCATAAAATGTTGCTAACCTATGAAAACTTTTGCCTTATCTTATTGTTTTTGGCGTAGGCCATTCTCTAATAGCTCGAGTCTTCTCCTCATCCACCTAAATTCCATTTGCACTAATTACATAACCTAGGAATAACAACTTGTTTGTGATAAAGTTGCACTTCTTCAGGTTCACATACAACTTAATTTTTTGTAAGATTATTAATACTTTGTGCAAGTGCAAAAGGTGCTTCTCTTCTGATCTACTATATATCAGGATATCATCAAAATAAACCACCACAAATTTTCCCATAAAAGGTTTTAGTACCTAATTCATCAATCGCATAAAAGTACTAGACGCGTTGGTCAACCCGAATGGCATCATGAGCCACTCAAACAACCCTTCCTTTGTCTTAAAAGCTATATTCCACTTATCTCCAAGTTTAATTCGAATCTGGTTGTATCCACTACAAAGATCAATTTTTGTGAACAACTTAGCCTCATGTAACCTATCAAGTATGTTATCTAGCCTAGGAATTGGGAACTTGTATCCAACAGTAATTCTGTCGATGGCTCGGCTATCCACACACATCCTTTAACTTTCATCTATTTTGGGGTTAATAAGGAGGGAACTGCACATAGACTCATACTCTCTTGGATATATCCTTTGCGTAATAATTCCTCCACTTTTTCCTTGAGAATCTTACTTTCCTTTGGGCTCATCCTATAATGAGGCAAGTTTGGCAAACTATCACCAAGAATCAAGTTAATAAGGTGCTGAATATCTCTTATGGGTTGTAAACCATTAGGTAAATCTTCTGGTATCACCTAATTGAATTTTGCTGGTAATGGTTTGACTGTTTTTAGATGCTCTACTATTATGATCCTCTTCAATTGATAACACTTGTTTCACAATCAGAGCATACACCTCTTTTGACTCCTTGAAAACAGTCTCTATCTTATTCTTCGAATAA